GGTTCAGGCAAAGGGGGTCCAAACTGTTTAAGGGGCACCTGTGGGTGTGGAGAGGTGGTTCAAGCCACCTGAGGTGGAGGGGGATTGCTGGCAAGGATTAGATCTCCTCTGGGGTTCTTCCTGATTTCCCCCTTCTTGAATGCTCTGGGATGAATTCTGATGGACTCTCAGTGTAGAATCCTTGTTTTGCCTGGCCCCAATGCTGGTGGAGGGGGGGGGGCGGTGCCAGGAACGTGTGCCTGTTATCTGGAGTTTTATGTTGCAGCTTTCAGGCACAGAAAATGTCTGCTGATAGCCTGGCGATGAGGCTGGGTGCCAGGGTTGTGCTACATCATGTCTCTAAAACAGCCCTGCCCTTGCACCCAGCCAGAATGTGTTGAGAGCATTGTAACCAGCCCTCCTAAATAGCCTTTTCTCTCTTCACACAGCCAAGAAGAAGGAAGAGGAAGAGGATGATATGAAGGAATTGGAGAATTGGGCTGGATCCATGTAACTGGTCCAGTGCGGGCTGGGCCCAGACAGACTCTGGTGGCCTGTGCAGCGGGCAGGCGTGTGCGCGTGCGGGGCAGGCAGGACATGGTGCAGGCAGGTTCCATCGCTCCTGAGTCTCCCTCCAAAGCCTTAGGGCCGCATCACTGCTCACTCTCTGCATAGCATGGTCTGCACCCAGCGGGACAGGGAGGGGGGAGGGGGGCTGGCGGGTGGGGTGGGAGGTGCCTGCTGTTTATAATGTTGAATTTCTGTAAAATAAACTGTATTTGCAAATCCAACATTGAGCTTCTGGACTACGCTAACTCCACTGCTGAACCTCAATGGAAAGGGTCGACCGTTTGCAGTTGAAATGATCTGAAAATGTAGCCTCTGTCCTTTTAAGTCAGTTGACTTGTCGCACCTTTCTTTGTAAGACTTGTATGGTACTGGCAGAAAAGTTTTTTAAAAGCCATAGGCTTTTCCTTGTCCTTAGCTGTAATAATGCATCTGACTTTGGTTTCCTTGAGAACTGTATTTCTGTCCATCTCCTGTGTACTGGCCCCTGTGTTTACCACTCTGCCTACCCCTCACTCCTGTTCCCCTGGTCTTTTGGAGTTTGTGACACTGATTTGAAATGGATGGTGTTCTCTTGAGAGCAAGTGAGATTGTAGAGTTAAACCCCAGCTATACATTTTTCTAACATAGCTCTAAGGTCCTTGTTGCTGTTTGTGATAACTGATAGATAACTCATTGGAAACATGTGCATACATTTATATTCAGATGAAATTATGGTTTGCACTGTCTATTAAATATCTCAATTAATTTTCATACTTTGCTGTTGTGTTCGATCTGTCATTTGCTTCGGGAGCTGACTCTTCCGACTAGCGTGGTGTCCAGTGGAGTCTGTGGAAACCTACACAAGACTTGAGCATGACCTGCATCAACAGTCTGTACCAAAGAACAGAGTGCGTCTTACTAGAAATGTTTTTAAGTTCTGGAGATCATGGGTCTGTGGCCTTCATCTTCCTTGGGGACCCTTGGGTACAGTTTAGGAGTGACTGGTTCTTGTGCAGTTCCGTGGTCTTCCCTCGTTTTTCTCTGTCAGTGTCCATGGGCAGAGCCTCCCCCTGTTGGAAACATGGTATTCCTACTGACTGGGCCCATCTGGTGCATTGGTTTAGTGAACCAATCTGGTACATTGGTGCACTGAAGAAAATGGCCTTTCTCATGGAGAGAAAGTGTAGGGCAGTGACTAAGAATCTAGGACACAAGTGGTAGTCTCAGGTCTGCTGTGACTCACAATGTGACCTTGGCCCAGGCTCTTCCACTCTCTCTACTTTTCTTTAGTCTTATCCCCCCTGGAGAATCTGATGACCACTATATGGGGACCTTCTTTAGAAAAGTGGATCTATGAACATGTGTTCTTAATTCTGCATGCCAGGTGGCAGAATTTGAGAGGATCCCTTCTCTAATGCCTATCCCTAAACCTCTTAAGATTAAAATCACCTTGGGGCTCCTGGGTGGCTCAGTCAGTTAAGCTTCTGACTCTGGATTTTGGCTCCAGTCATGATCTCAGGGTTGTGAGATTGAGCCCCATGTCTAGCTCCGCACTGGGTGTGGAGCCTGCTTGGGATTCTCCCTTTGCCCCCCTCCCCCAAAAAAGATTAAAATGACCCTGAGTTCACAATTAAAACACTGCCATCGCTCACTGGGTACCTTGGGGCTAGTTGCCCACTTTCCCTGGATCTCATTTTCCCATCTGTGAAATAAGGGGGTGGGACCGGATCATCGGAGGTCCTGTCTGTGAAGTTGCTGATGCCCTGTGCCTCACTTCTCGTTTCTCATCTTCCCTGGCTGCCACACTTAGGATTAGACTTGAGCACCATGGCTTGGAAATTCATGACTTGTGTGGAGGTTGGGTCTGGCTATTCTCAGAAGTTCTTTTCTTTCCACCTCAAGAAGAATCTAGTGGCAACACTTGCTGCCAGCTTCCCACCCTCTTGGAGCAGTTGGTGTAGCCCCTGGGCATCATTTGGTGTGGGGGATCCAGAGTGAACATTCTTTTTTTTTTTTTTTTAAAGATTTTATTTATTTATTTGAGAGAGAGAGAATGAGAGAGAGCAAGTACATGAAAGGGGGGAGGGTCAGAGGGAGAAGCAGACTCCCTGCCGAGCAGGGAGCCCGATGCGGGACTCGATCCCGGGACTCCAGGATCATGACCTGAGCCGAAGGCAGTCGCTTAACCAACTGAGCCACCCAGGCGCCCCAGAGTGAACATTCTTAAGCTCTTCTCATCAGTTGTCTCAGGGGCTTCTCACCCAATGTCTGAATGAGGGTAACTCACAGGTCCAACCATCCAGCTCTGGCAGGTCTGAAACCAGGTTCAGGGCAGTGTCTGGGGCTCCTCTGAGAAATAGCTGCTTATTCCTCTTAAATGTGGGCCCTGTGCCAGGCTGTGGGTTGCAGTGTTGAATAATGCTCAGTCTCTTTCCTGCTCTTAGGAGGTTCTCAGGCTGGAGAGAAAAGTTACTGTGTCAGGATTCCTTGGCTACAAGCTACAGATGACTCAATTGACTAGTATAAACAGTAAAGTCATCGACTTATCCATTCAAAGCTTACTCAACAAATATTTACTGAGCACCTAATGTGTGCCAGGCATTGTTCAAGGCACTGTGAGTGCATGCAACAGACAAAGTCCCTGCCCTCGAGGTGTTACATTCTAATAAGTCTCAGGACTAGAAATCTTAGGTTGGTAGAGGGTTGAATGGGAGTGGTGAGGGCATGGGGGGAGTCTGGGTTTGAGGCAGTGGCTCAACCATGTCCTCAAGAACTAGGATCTTTGCATCCTTCTGCTCTGCCACTCTCCATACATTAGCTTTTCCTTATTGGGCTTGGTCCCTCTTGGTCATTAGATGGCCTTTCATCACACATCCAGGATCTAGAAGCAGGAGGATCAGAATAGCCAGAGTTTCTTTCACCTCTGCCCATGTTAACAGGAGGCTCCACACAAACTATCCCTATATCTCTTGGACCACAACTGTTGCATGGTCATTTCTTGCTGTGAAGGAGTCTGGGAAAGTGGGGACTGTACAATAAAGGGTCCAATCAGGATTCTCCCCTTGAGCTGGGGATGGACCTCCCTTCTCTGAGCCCATTACTATTTTTAAGAAGGAAGAAGAGGGGATGGTTGCTGAGTTAGGTGGCACAGAGGCAGACACTGAAACAGACAGATACGGATCAGCCCATGATGTATTCCTTTCAAATCCTTCAATCTGCCTCCACCCTCTCCTCTTCTGTGGTTGGAAAACTAAGGTGCGTTGGAATTACCCAGGGAGCTTGTTAAAAGTTCGGTGTCCTGGGCCCCATCCCCTGAGCTGGGTGGGGATCCAAGAATTTGCATTTTAACAAACTCCTTGGGTGATTCTGATGTAGGGGTCCTGGGGCTACACTTTGGAACACTAAGGTGGACAGGATCAAGACCTCAGAATGTTTACATGAATCCTCCATAAGCTGGAACCTCTCCCCTTGTCTCCCCCATACTGTTATGCAGAATCTCCTGTCTCCTACAACATGTGTTCTCTGCCTCCCAGCTGTTACGTGGGCTCTAGTTCCCTAGCCTTCCTCTCCTGAGTACAGCCTGCCTCATTCCTGCAGGGATTTGCTGCGTCCTTCTCTGCTTCCCACTTCCCACACTCTTGTTAGGATTCCTTACTTTCTTCCCAGACAGATCACTGCATTTCCTCACCCCCTAGATCTGCCCAGCACAGATCAGCTACTCAACGATGTTTGCGTGAAAGCATGTATATGGTCAGAGGGGAGTGTGCTGTTGATTGGGTGTGCCAGGAGGAGGTGGAATTTGAGCCTGGGCTTGAAGGAGTGGATTCTTGATGTGTGCCTGCGATGAATGGGACATTCTAGACCAAGGGAAGCTTGTGAGAGGAGACAAGAAGGCAGGGAGGTGAGGGCTGCCTCAGGAGGATTTAACTGGGGGACGGGCTTGCTTGAGAAGAGGTTGAGGTAGAAGTGGAAAGGTAGGTTGGGGCTAGACTGGGATCTCGAGCATGAGACTGAGGGGTCTACATAGTCAAGAATCAAGCAGGGACTGGAGGGTATTATGTTGAGTGAAATAAGTCAAAAAGAGAAAGACATGTATCATATGATCTCACTGATATGAGGAATTCTTAATCGCAGGAAACAAACTGAGTGTTGTTGGAGTGGGGGGTGGGGTGGAGGGATGGGGGGACTGGGCGATAGACACTGGGGAGGGTATGTGCTCTGATAAGCGCTGTGAATTGTGCAAGACTGTTGAATCTCAGATCTGTACCTCTGAAACAAATAATGCAATATATGTTAAGAAAAAAAAAAAAGAAGAAGAAGAAGAAGGTAGCGGGAGGGGAAGAATGAAGCGGGGGAAATCGGAGGGGTAGACGAACCATGAGAGATGATGGACTCTGAAGGGCAGGCAGGGTTCTAGAGGGGAGGGGGGTGGGAGGACGGGTTAGCCTGGTGGTGGGTATTGAGGAGGGCACGTTCTGCATGGAGCACTGGGTGTTATGCACAAACAATGAATCATGGAACACTTCATCTAAAACTAATGTTGTAATGTATGGGGATTAACATAAGAATAAAAAAAAAAAAGAAGCAGGGAAGGAAGGGAGACAGGGATGGTAGGGGAAAGAAGGAAAGAAAATCAGTTGCTCAGGCAATAGTTTTGGGGCCAGAGGAGGGGTAGAGATGAAGCTTTTTAGGTTGCCTCCCATTTCCCTCAGTGAAGTGAGGGCTGGCAATTTTAGAAGCAGCAGTACCATGGGGTAAATTCCTGCATCTTCCAAGTGGAGGCTGGACAATGGGCTGGTGTGTGGGCAACAGCAGGCCAGGATGTAGATGCTAAGAGCACAAGGCTCTGGAGCCTGGCATGTAAGGTTCAGATCCTGCCTCTGTAGTGCAGGGACTGTGTGAGCCTCGGGAGGTGGCTTCATTGCCTAAGCCTGGTTTCTCATCTGTAATGTGCAGGTCCTAAACACCTGTCTGTTTCGTTTTCTAGTGCCTCCATAACAAATGACCACAAACCAGGGGCCTTAACACAATAGAAATCTATTCTCTCACAGCTTAAGAGGTCTGAAGTCCAAAATCAGCAGGGCCATGCTGCCCTCAGAGGCCCTAGGGAGGATCCTTCCTCACCTTTTCTAGTTTCAGGTAGCTCGTAGCATTCTTTGGCTTGTAGCTCTGTCATTCCAGTCTGTGCCTCGCCTTCTCATGGCTTTCCTGTGTGTCTGTGTGTCCTTTCCTGTCTCTTATAAGGACACTTGTCATTGTTAGGGCCCACCCTAATTCAATATGATCTCATCTTGATCCTTACTTTAATTATATCTGCATAGACCCTATTTCCAAATAAGGTCACATTGTGAGGTTCCAGGTGGACATGAATTGGGGGGGACACTAGTCAACCCAGTGTGCTACCTCATAGAGCTCTGAGGTCACAGCCTGCAAAGCACACAGCAAGGTTTAGAGAGCGCTGTGAGGTAGAGGTGGGAAGCCCAGCTATTATGAGCCCCACTTGCTAGATGTGAAAACTGAGGCTTTAGGGAAACTTTGGGTCCCACTGCTAGTAAGTGGCAGAAGAAGCAGAGGAATTGCTTATTCTATGAAGGCCATTCAACATCTGTATTTTGGGCGTCTTTATGCCAGCTCATGGTTTGGTGGAAAAATTAGTTCATCATCCTCTTCATCATCATTGCCATGACAGGCTGGGCAGTCAATGTAGTGAAACCCTTTGAGAAGAGGGAGGGTACCTGCCCCAGGAGGGCTTGTGAGAGGAAGTACTGTCTTAGCCAAAATAGAGGGGTACTGAGGAATCAGCAAGGGAAACTGTGAAAGACAGGAGTTAGGATAGTTTTCAATGGCATGCGCAAAGGCCTGGAGGCCACCCTGGGCTTCTGTGTGGGCCTGGGCTGGTCAACGACACAGAGTCAGTAGACCTTCAGCTATGTATTTATGAAATGAGGGGCACCTGGGTGGCTCAGTCAGTTAAGCATCCGACTCTTGATTTTAGCTCAGGTCATGATCTCAGGGTTGTGGGATGGAGCCCCATGTGGGGCTCTGCACTTAAAGCAGAGTCTGCTTGAGATTATCTCCCTCTCCCTCTGTCCCTTCCCCTGCTCACACTCGCTCGCTCTCTCTCAAATAAATAAATATTTAAAGATTTTATTTATTTATTTGACAGAGAGAGAGGGAGAGCAGGAACACAAGCAGGGGGAGTGGGAGAGGGAGAAGCAGGCCTCCTACAGAGCAGGGAGCCTGATGCAGGCCTCGATCCCAGGACCCTGGGATCATGACCTAAGCGGAAGGCAGACACTCAACAACTGAGCCACCCAGGTGCCCCAATAAATAAAATCTTTTAAAAAAGTATTTATGAAATGAATTACAGATGGGGAAACAAAGGCACCAAGGTACTTCAAGTCCCATAGCAAATACTGGCAGAGCTAAGACATGAACTCAACTCCCCTATCTCCCTATCTAGGTCTCTTCCTGTCTGCCCCAGGTACTGGGTGCTGCAGAAACAGCTTCCTTCCTCCATGCTAAGCTGCATCCTGGCCTTGGTCAGACAACAGAGGAGTCAGGTGGAGCTGGGATAGAAGCACAGACCTTTGGGTTCCACAGCCGAGACTGCACCGATTGTGAGCTGGACTTCCCGTGAGGCTCTAGCTAAACTGGGCCCACATTCCCACAGGGCAACTCCCGGGCTGAAACGGAGGGGAAAGGTCCCCCTGTTTAGAGCAGAAATATGTTCTCTTGCCCACTAATGTTACTTGCCTGGACTTGTTGGTTTTCAGTAAGAACAATAGCCAAAAAGAATGGCAAGTATTGAGGTATTTACTAACAAGCACTTAATCTCCTTCATCTTACTTTATCCACCCAAGAACTATTTCAGGGTAGGACCACACATTGCCCTATTTTACAGCTAAGAAAACCCAGGCTCAGTGGGATAAAGTGACTTGCTCAAGGTCACAGAGCTGGGGAGCAGTAAAGCCACAAGAATCCAACCCCCACCTTCGCCCCCCCCAGCCCTTCTTTGCCACAGTGGTGGGGGAGGGGCAGGCTCACAGAGTCTCTTCCCTGTCTCCCTCAGAAGGTACCAACTCTGAATGTGACCAAATGCTCCGGTCCAAAGAGGAGGCCAACTCTCTTAGGAATCTTCCTGCTAAGAGCAAAAAGACCACAGGCAACAGGATCTAGAATCATCCAATGTGACTGGACTGGAGCAGTGGTGTCAGAACCATGCAGTGGAGTCAGGCTCCTTCCCCAAGGGGCTTTGGAAGGTGGGACCCCTCTGGGGCGGGTTTGCCCTCCCCACCCTGAGGCCCTACCTATTCCCCGCCCCCCCAGACCATCTCACTGATACTACCTCTGTTTCCTTCTCTCCCTCCTCAGCTTGGGTAGCTATGTGGGGGACAAGCGGTTCCCTCACAGAAAGTGTGGACAAAGATACCACGGTACGTAAGGATGGCAGTTCTGCTTATCTATTGTTACACAATAAACCACCCTGAAACTTAGTTGTGAAAAGCAACTATTTCATTATGCTCACAGATTCTGTGGTCAGAAATTTGGAAAGGGCCCAGTGGGAACCACTTGTCTCTGTTCCCTGATAACTGGGGCCTCACCTGCAAAGACCTGAAGGCTGGTGATTACTTCAACGGCTGGAATCATCCAGGGGCCTCTTCAGTTCTTCAGTATTTGTGGTAGTTGATGCTAGTTATTGGCTGGGACTTCCACTGGGACTGTCAGCAGGAGCACGTGCCCTCTCCTTGTGGCTTGGGCTTCCTCACAGCATGGGAGCCTCAATGTAGTCCAAGCTTAGGGCTCTAAAAGGGATTGCCCCAGCCAGGGTGAGGAAGGTGCATTACTTTTATGACCTTGCTTTAGAAGTCATGCAGAGCCACTTCAATGCATTTTACTGGTTATGAGTGAGTTATAGACCCACCCAGGTTCAAGGGGAGGGGAATCAGACTCCATCTCTCTCTCTTTTTTAATTTTTAATTTTTATTTTTTTATTATTTTTTAAAGATTTTATTTATTTATTTTGACAGAGAGAGAGACAGCAAGAGAGGGAACACAAGCGGGGGGGTGGGGTGGGGGTGGAGGTGGGGGGAAGGGAGAAACAGGCTTCCCGCCAAGCAGGGAGCCTGATGTGGGGCTTGATCCCAGGACCCTGGGATCATGACCTGAGCCGAAGGCAGATGCTTAACGACCGAGCCACCCAGGTGCCCCCCTCTCTCTCTTTTTTTTAAAGTTTTATTTATTTAAGTAATCTCTACACCCCACATGAGGCTCAAACGCACAGCCTGGGGATCAAGAGTCACAGGCTCTTCCAACTGAGCTAGCCGGGCGCTCCTACATTCCACTTCTTGATGAGGGCATGGCTAGTTCTAAAAGACCATGGAGGACAGAAGGTATCATTGGGCCTTTCTCTGGAAGATATAATTGGCCATGATAGCTAACAGAGTATTTACTATGTGCCAGGAATTGAATTCACTCATCTTGTCTCCAAACCCCACCCCATCCAGAGAATTCTTTTGAGTATATGTTATATCTATCTCTGTCTGTCTGTCTATCTATCTATCTATCTATCTATCTCTATCATCTTTCCTTTTCTCTATATATTATATATAATACAAATATATACATGAATAAATTATATGTACTAATATATGTACTGTACTAATATATTGTATATGTAGTACATATACAACCCCTTGAGGTTTTAAAAGGCTGGGATGAGAAATAAAGATAATCAGAAATTTCAGTGTTGTCTTCCTATATTTCAAAGGAGTTAAAGGATTTACCTTTGAAATCTGTCCCCTCTCCTTCCCATCCATTGCCACCACCTGGTCCAGGACACCATTAAATCTCAACTGAGCAACTTCAGCAGTAACTTCCATGGTCTCTCTGCCCCAATCCTTCATAGTAGCCAGAGCTAGAGTAATCTTTCTAAAGAGCTGTCACTCTCATTTAAAAGCTCAGTGGCTTTGGGGTGCCTGGGTGGCTCAGTCGGTTAAGCATCTGCCTTCAGCTCAGGTCATGATCCCAGAGTCCTGGGATCGAGCCCCGCATCAGGATCCCTGCTCAGCAGAGAGTCTTCTCCCTTTCCTTTTGCTACTCCCTGCCCCACTCGTACTCTCTTGTGCTCTCAAAATAAGTAAGATATTTATTTATTTATTTATTTATTTATTTATTTATTTATTTATTTATTTATTTATGAGAGACCCAGACTAAGAGAGCACAAGCAGGGGGAGCAACAGAAGGAGAGGGAGTAGAAGGCTCCTCATTGAGCAGGGAGCCCAATGTGGGGCTCGATCCCAGGACCCTGGGATCATGACCTGGACTGAGGGCAGATGCTTAACCCACTGAGCCATCCAGGCACCCCAAATAAAAAATCTTTAAAAAAAAAAAAGATAAAAAATAAAAGCTCAGTGGCTTCTACTGCCCTCTAAACAGAATCACAGCTTCCACCCTCCCAGCAGGATCTGGCAGGCCCCTGCCTGCTTTTCCAGCCTCCTTGAAGGCCTGTTCTCATCCTGCGGTTGGCAGAACATCTGCATCAGAATTTCCTGGGGACTGATTCAACATGCAGATTCCTGCATCAATCAGAATTGCTTGGGAGATGGGGCCCTGGAACTTGCATTTTAAACATGCTTCCACGGGATTCTCTTTCTCATTAAAGTCTGTGAATCCCAGCTAGCCTTTGAGATCATCTCTTCTAGTTCAACACCCTCATCTCCATTCTGCAGATGAGGAAACCAAGGCCTAGAAAGAATAACTTTCCCATGGCCTCAATGCTCATTGAGGGAACTGAAGAGTTAAGTTAGACATCAGGGGCAAATGTGCTTGTGGAATCCCCAAGGGACATTTTCCAAACTTCTTGACCAGGGTGTGGGTTCTGCAGAACATTTTGGGGAACGCTGCCAGGGCTCCTTCCAGGTGCGGGGACAATGGGAGGCAATGTGATGCTGTCGTCCCGTGATGGAGCGCACCTCAAGCCCCTAAAGAGTATGGGACCCTCTCTGCCCGCTCCTCCCGGATTTGAGGGGCGGACGCCGCAACGCTCCTGAGAGCCTATAGGTGGCGCCATCTCCCAGGGAGTGAGACCCCGCGCTTCGCTCGAACCGCCCGGGGCGGATAGGCTCTTCCCGGGTGGTCTGCACCCCTGGAGCGAGAGGTGAGAGGAAACGGGAGCCCGGGCGGGGACGCGGAATGTGTGTGCTTAGTATCCCCTCCCCGCCCTGCCTTGAGGGGGTCCTTCGATGAGAGGCTGCAGGAGGCCATCTGACTAGATGGGAGAGGGATGGGTGGTGTGTCCCAGCTCCTTCCGGGGCCTGGGGGGTGAGAGGAGAGGTGCAGGAGGAAGGGAGAAGCCAGGCTTGAGGTGGGGCCATTAGGACAACAATGGTAATAATGTCCTTATTTCCTGAGCACCTTATTTGCTTGGGGCTGCGGAAGGGAGAGGTGCTGGGGGTGTGCGCTCCTCCCTCATCCTCTGGGGAGGTCTCTTCCCCCAAACTCTGACAAAGGAGGGCAGCACTGTGGGTGATATCTCCCCCTTGGGTTTGCATCCCACATGGAAAGGTGAGGGTGGGTCCCAGTCTGGGGACTTCAGTTGTTGACCTGGAGCTGGGCCCCCAAGGGTACAGATCCCCAAAGGCTGTCCTTCTGCTCTCTTTGCGACCCGCCACCCCCACACCTCTGCCAGTTTCCTCTTCTAATCCCCCCAAACCGGTTTTTCCTTTTGTGAAGCTTGAGGGCCCACTGTGTAGGGCCTTCCTGCCCTGGCCCTCCAGGCTCATGGGGCTCCCAGAATCACCCAGCAGGTGACCCAGCAAGTCTGGGGAGGGGTGCCTAGAAACTATATTTTTAACTGCCAAAGCGGGCAGTGGACCCACTCTGGGAAAGACAGACGAAGAACCATCTTTAGAAAAAAAAGACCCTGACATTTGCTGATTTCCATGGTGTAAATACAGCATGGCCAATTTCAGATACCAATAAGACAACATAATTCCTCAAAATTGAACAATTGGCTCTTGGGAACTGTTACAAGCTGCTTCCAGTGGGAAAAGATCTGTTTATGACTTGGAGTGTTTAAGGAAAATCCTGTCTCTGTTCTGGTCAGGGCCTGCTATGTAATTTGTGGGGGCCAGTGCAAAATGAAAATGCAGGGCCCCTTGTTAAAAAATTATTAAGAATTTCAAGACAGTGACAACAGGGTATTAAACCAAGTGGGGCCCTTCTGAGTCACAGGTCACACACCCATGAAGCTTGCTGTATCGCTGATCCAGGCCATCAACAACACTCACTTGTCACAACCTCCTCATCGGCCTCCCTGCTGTCTCCCTGACTCCGTACAAACCATTCTCCACTCAGCAGACAGGGGGACCTTTTAATATCTAGGTTAGACATTCTCACTCCGCTGCTTGCCTGTTGTCTTTAGGAGCAAGCACAAAGCCCTTCTGCCTGGCTGGCTTCCTGCACGCGTGGCTCCTCAGTTATATATCCTCATCGCTGCCCTGCCTCACTCTGATCACTGGAGAGACTTTACATTTACTGGTACAGTGTCCGTCTCTCCCTCCACACCTGAAGTTCCAGGAGGGCAACAGCTGTTGTAGTCCTGTGCTCAGCACCACTGTGTGCCTGCACGTGGTAGGCTCAGTACTTGGTGGTTGAATAAATGAATTAATTGATGAAAAGGATAGTTGGACCAGGATAGGGGTTTTCAATTTTTTTTAGTAACAATCATTTAGTCAAATGAGATCTTATAGGGAAGCTCATTACATGATAAAATAAATAGTTTTGGGGGCGCCTGGGTGGTTCAGTTATTTAAGCGTCTCCCTTGGGCTCAGGTCATGATCTCAGGGTCCTAGGATCAAGCCCTGCATCGGGCTCCCTGTTCAGTGGGGAGTCCGCTTCTCCCTCTGCCTCTGCCTCTGCCCACAATTCGTGTTCTCTCTCTCTCAAATAAATAAATGCTTTTTTTTATAGGAAAGAGGGGAAGCCCCTCTTTTTTTTTTTTTTAAGATTTTATTTATTTATTTGAGAGAGAGAGAATGAGAGACAGAGAGCATGAGAGGGAGGAGGGTCAGAGGGAGAAGCAGACTCCCTGCCGAGCAGGGAGCCCGATGCGGGACTAGATCCCGGGACTCGATCCTGGGACTCCAGGATCATGACCTGAGCCGAAGGCAGTCGCTTAACCAACTGAGCCACCCAGGCGCCCTAAATAAATAAATTCTTAAAAAAAAAAAGTTTAGGGGCACCTGGCTGGCTCAGTCTGTGCAGTGTGTGACTCTTGATCTTGGGGTTGTAAGTTCAAGCCCCACACTGGGTGTAGAGAGAACTTAAAAAAAAAGAGTAGATGTTTGGTCTGCATGGGACCCCACATGATCATTGATTGTCTCCGCACAACAGGGAGACTTCAATGGACCTGGTTTGGTGACAATATTGCCACCTTTTTTCTTCCTACATTGAATTTTAGCCAGCCCCTCTTGGCTAATGTTAATGATCTAGTTTCTGTTCCCATTAGCCAGACTGAACCCTCAGCTGTCACACTGGTTATAAATCCAGATGATGTTCCCGTAAAGAGGGGAGAGGATGGGCGCCTGGGTGGCTCAGTTGGTTAAGCGACTGCCTTCGGCTCAGGTCATGATCCTGGAGTCCCGGGATCGAGTCCCGCATCGGGCTCCCTGCTCGGCAGGGAGTCTGCTTCTCCCGCTGACCCTCCCCCCTCTCATGCTCTCTCTATCTCATTCTCTCTCAAATAAATGAATAAAATCTTTAAAAAAAAAAAAAAAGAGAGGAGAGGATGTTACTGCGGCTGCCTATTCTGAGCTCCTACTGCAGACCTCCAGGAAAGGTGGGCTTGGTGTTGGTTGGGGCAGCCTGCCCTACCAGCATCCCCTTCTCTGCTTTCTCCCCTTCCCTGGCCATGCACATTTCTCTCGGGCACCTCTCAAACTCAGAAGGGCAGTTGGGCTGAGTCACAAGCAGAGGGTATGTGTCCCTAGTGGTGAGCACAGAGGCAGGGCCATAGCCTGACATCTTGGCCTCACTTTGGTCATCAAGTGACTCTCCGTGGCCAGAGGCTATATATTCTCTCTCACTGGCGTCTAAGCTGACTATAATGCCAGCCAGCAGTTATTAAGCACTTACTGGAAGCTCAGCATGCTAATAAGGGCTTTTTGGGTTTTCCTTCCATCAGTCCTCACAAAAGCCCTTAGGAGTAGCTGTTATCATGCACCCCATTTTACAGACAGGAAAGGGAGGCTCCGAGCGGGAAGTGGCTTGGCTAAGGTCACACAGTGGGTGACCTGGACACATTGGGGCCACTGAGCCATATACCAGCTCGTTATGGGTGAGAGAGGAAAGAGGACTCAGGGCCTCCCTCTGCTTCTGGTGGCCTGGTCGCTCCCCAGCCCCTGGAAGGTGCCCTTGCTCTCTTCCCTGTGAAGTGACATGGCCAAGTGGCATTTGAAGCAGACAGACCTGAATTCAAATCCCAGCTCTACTGGTGACGAGCCGTGTGACCCGGTGTGTGGTCTCACTCTCCCACCTGAGCAAGGGGGGAACAGATGTCCTCACCCATCTCCCCAGGTGGGGGTGGGCACGTGGAAGGAGAGGTGGCCAAGACACTTGGAATATCTCGAGTGCTCGGTGGGAAGTGGCTATGAGGGATTTTCATGATTTACTCATCTGGGCTCATCTTAGAGCAGAGGAAAACGGGACCCTTCAGGGGCTCTCTTCCCTGTCCTTCCTCAGTGGGTCCCAGAATGGGACGTACTGAGGGTAAACCTCACCTCAGGGCTGTCCTCCATTGTGCATCTGCCCACTCGGCTCCTGATGAAGAAACGACTGGGGCTGCCACACGAGGAGGGGCAGCATCCTGGGTTCTGGTCCTTGCTTTGCCGCCACATGACACCCGGTCCCTTTCTGGGCCTCAGTTTCCCCATCTCTACTGTGAGTCTCCTTTGGAAACTCTGAAGTGTCAGAGTAAAGAGCAAATGAAAATTTGAGTCGCAGCTCTGTGTTGTCATACCCCACATAAAAGAGGGGGCATATTAATTTTCTGGGGCTGATGCAGCAATCACCACGAATTGAGTGACTTCAGACAATAAGAATTTATTTTTTTCACAGTTCAGACCAGAAGTCCGAACTCAAGATGTCAGCAGGGCCTCTTGGGGAGAGTGCTTCTTGGCCTAGTTTGCCAGCAAGCCTTGGCATTCCGTGGTATGTAGCCTCCAATTTCTGCTCTGCCTTCATATTACCTCCTCCTCTGCGTGTGTCTTCTCCTGTTTCTTATAAGGGCACTTGTCATTGGATTTAGGGCCCACCTGGGTAATCCAGAATGATATCATGTTAGATTCTTAATTTAATTACACCTGCAAAGATCTTTTTTTCGAAATAAGGTCCCATTCAAAGGTTCCAGGGATTTGGATGTGGACAGATCTTTTGGGGGGCTGCCATTCAACCCACTAGGGCGTTTAGCATAGTTATTACACCTCACTTCTGCTGCCCAAGAAAGGGAAGTGTGAAGCAGGATTCCTGCAAAGACCTTAGATAGCGCTGCATGTGCTAAGCTCAAGAAGTGTGTACCCAGAGAAAAAAAACTGAGGCACAGGGAGGAAAAAACCACTGAGGGAGCCTCCCTGGCAGTCCTGAGACCCTTCCCCTTTGGGTCTTGTCTCCGTGGATGGGTGAAGCGGGACCTCTCTGGCACCAGCAGCCCTAAGTCCTGATTCTGGGCTGAGCCCAGGGCGAGTGGGCATCTCAGCGTCCCATTCTGGCAAAGCACTACCCAGAAACGTATTTTACCCGTAAACAGGCCAATTAAGAAGGCAAATGTTTTCAAACAGAAGGATTTATTGGCATAGAATGTGCCATCCCTCTGAGCGGGAGGAGTGGGTGTGCATGCAGAGCCATCTGGAGGGGAAGTGTTTATCATATTTATTTAGTTATGAGTTGCTGGTTTGGAACTGGCAGGGCTTCATTAGGTGTGAGCACGGATCCCTGGGAGGGTGCACAGATTCGGGAGGCTCTGTGAACACACAGGTGCCTGCGTGCCTTTGTGCGGACACACGCGTCTTTGTGCCTCAGTGCATGTGTCCGTGTGCCTGCACGTATGTACGCACACGTGTGTCTATGTGTGTCCTTTGTGTGTGGATGCACGTGTGGCCTTATATGCACTTGCCTGTCACAGATGCCTCGTGCCTTAGCTGACTCAGCTCCAACTTAAATGATGCCGATCACTCTCTCCTTAAAAGTCTCTCCCCTGGCACATCCTGTGTCACCTGCATGTCTGATGTCTCTCTCTTTTTCTCTGTCTGCTATGTCTCTCTAGATCAGGGACTGCCAGTAGGTCTTGTGAATGAGAGGAGAGGCCCGACCTGGGCTAAGCTTTTGACACAGACTTGTTTTGCATATTAAACGCAAAGAAATAGTCTTGGCATCTACAAAGATATATACTTTCCTGTTTTGCTTGATAAACAGCAACCCTGGGGTGCCTGGTGGCTCAGTAGATTAGGCCTCCCACCGAGCAGGGAGCCCGATGCGGGACTCGATCCGAGGACCCTGGGATCATGACCTGAGCCGAAGGCAGACGCTTAACCAACTAAGCCACCCAGGCGTCCTAAGTGAGCATAATTTTTTTTTTTTTTAAGATTTTATTTATTTATTTGAGAGAGAGAAAGCACATGAGAGGGGGGAGGGTCAGAGGGAGAAGCAGACTCCCTGCCGAGCAGGGAGCCCGATGCGGGACTCGATCCAGGGACTCCAGGATCGTGACCTGAGCTGAAGGCAGTCGCTTAACCAACTGAGCCACCCAGGTGCCCCGAGTGAGCATAATTTTTAAACGTTGGCTCCAAAGCTTTTTAAAATACCGTGCAGGCCAAACTGAACTTGTGTGCGGGACAGATGAAGCCTGTGGCTGCCCATTTGCAGCCTCCCACCCACACTGTCCTAGGTGAGCCCCTGTGCTCCGTGGCTTTAAGGACCAAACTGACAACTGGCAGCTGTGCCTCTGAGTTGGGCCAGGCCACTTCTGAGGCAGACCCTCTCCTCCTGGGCTCACGCCTTGTAAGCACTATGAACCCAGAGGTCCATGGTGCAAGTGCAGCATCTTTCCATTGACCTGTGCCTCCCGTGCAGCCCCGAGTCAGAGGCAGCCCCACCATCAGCCCTGGAGACTGGAATCTGGGTGCCATCCTTGGGTCCGCTCCTCCCCTCAGCCTCCCTGGGCATCCAATCAGTCACCCATTCCTGCTCACTTTGTCTCCATGACACATCCCTCCAGGCTTCAGCTCCTGGCTAGCGCCTCCCCGTCCCTTCCCCACTCGGCAAAGTGCACTGAACTCTGTGTGACTTGACTCCTGCTTGCTCTTCCAGCCTCATCCTTCCTCTCTTCCTGCTTCAGCAATACCAAACTGCTTTTATTCTATTTATTGCCTCCTGCCTGTGCACATGCTGTTCCCTCTTCATGTAATTCCTTTCTAGGACTGCCCTCTTCCCCCAGCTAACTCCTCTTCATCCTTTGAGATCCCACAGGAAGCCCCTTCTGCAAAAAGGGTGAAAATAAATCTCACCTCGTGAAGTCGTTCTCCGGATTCCATGGGACTGTACCTTGCACAGTGCCTGGCACGCGAGGTGCTCTCTTGCCGTGCCTCCCTCTGCCTGCCTCCCCAGGCTGCCACTCCCTGCCGCAGGAGGACCGCGGAGCCACCGTGAGGCCTGAGGGAATGGACAGTCTGGCTTCTTGGGCGGTGGAGCTCCCAGCCTTTTCCAGGCCCCGGGCCCTGTATGATGTCAGCCACGGAACGTCACCAACACGTGGATCTTTCCAATCAGCCCTTCTCCCGTTAAATAGGCATTTTTATATTTTCATTGGACATACATTAGTTACGGAGAATTTTTACAGCCCATGTTTTAGAGCGTGGCGGTCTGGGCTGTAAAGATATAATCGGCTCTGATAGGAGACGGTTTCTCTGGCGCTAAAGGGGGGCTGGCGTGGCGGCGGCGTGATTGGAGCTCTAAGTGTCTGAAATGACTGTTGCTAAGTCCCCAGAGCCACAAGTCAATCAACCGCGCCAAACGGGAAACTCAACAGTGAGTGTTAAAAAGAGGGGGGATGATGAAAATGAAAAAAGAAAAACATTCAAGAGGGAATTGAATTTTGGAGTCACTTGATGGAAGTTTTAAAAATGAACAGTAACAGCCCCCCAAAAGTGCATCTTCTCTACCCGGCTGAAGAAGAGAGGTTTGCTTTCTGGGATTCTGGAAGACTCTTTCAAAGTTACTTCTTTCTTCTTTTCTTTCCCTCTGTCCCTCCCTTTTTCCCCATGAATGTTTCCTGAGCACCTACTATGTCAGGTACTGCGTGAGTCACTGGGGATATAACAGTGAATAAGGCAGATGGTGTCCCTGCTCTTCTGGAGTTTATACATTTCGCACACATACCAGAGGACGCATGGAACAATTTCCTGTTGCCCCAGCAACGATGACCAAGGCCAAAGCTATAGGCAAAAGCATCAAATACCCCACATTCTTTTTTTTTTAAATCCCACAGAGGTTGTCCCATGATGGGGCCCCCGAGGACTGCAGACCTGTACCCACCCAGGGGTGCAAGGCATGGCTGGGGAACATCTTTCCAGGGTTCTACTCCCAACGTGGGGCTTGAACTCACAACCCATGCTCCACTGACTGAAGCAGCCAGGTACCCCAGGTATCCCACATTCTAAAGAGCTCAGTTAGAATTCGGGCCAGAAACACCCTCAGGGCTTATAAAAGACAGTCCAGCAATTTCTGTTATTCCAACTGTAACCCCCAGCCCCACCGCCAGCCCCTATCCCCTTGTCCTGTCTCCAGAAGCAGAAAACCATGAGAGACAGAGGAGAGAGGTACTGGACTGCCAGTTGTCAGCCCCGGAGGTGGGGGTGGGGGGTGATTGTCTCCTCCCTATGGGGGAGGATGGGGGACCTCCAAAGGGAGCATTTGCAGAGATGGGGACCACCCGAAGGGCAGATGAGCATCTCTGCCACCTGGGGGGCTCTGCTTATGCAGTCACCTGGCCTCTCCGCCCTGGACCAGATGTGGGTGGCCAGGGAGGGGCTGCACAGAGGAGGAGGCTGGCCAGAGCTGTCTGCGAGGACAAGGACTCAGAGGCAGCAGGAGGTCTGAGGTGGGCTGCCGGGGTGGGAGCTGAGGGATGGAAGGGGCAGAGCCACAGAGGTTGTCCTATGATGGGGCCCCTGAGGACTGCAGACCTGTACCCACCCAGGGGAGCAAGGCATGGCTGGGGAGCATCTTTACACACTTTCCTCTTCCTGGCCCACTTCCCCTGGAGGCTGTCTCTGCCTGCCCCCTTTCCCTGCCCCCCACACCAACCAGGCTGGGTCAGGGCCTTCCTCTGGGCTCTCCTGGCCCCCAGGGTTCCTACCACCGCAGCACCAGCCCCTCTGGCCTGTCCCTGTCTAGGGTGCGTCTGTCTCTGGCGCCAGCAAGGCTTTTGTCGTCTTTGCCACAGCATCCGGCACAAAGTGGGAAACAGCAGGCGCTCACTGTGTGCTTGTGGGAGGCACCTTTTTGGAGGAGCATTGAGTTGAGGGCAGCTGCTGGCTCAGGGACCCCAGGGCTGGAGGGACCTGTCCTCTCCCTGCCTCTTTATTATCCTTTCTGTCCTTTTCCTGCCCAACTCCAGCCTGGCTTTCACTTTACCACCAAATAAATAAATCTTCGTCTTCATGGAGAGATTTCCTCTGGGCAGTGCTCTAAGAACTGGAAATGCTCCCAGCCTACGAGCCACCGGGAGGAGACTTCTTGAGGCTAGGCTGGGCCCCTGTTGGAAGGGGCACCCCCGGCCTTTGCGAATGCTGTGCTCTCTGTCCTGCTGACTCTTCCTTCCCTGCTGCTGAGTACCTTCTCCCCTTCTAGGCCTGTCTCTCCAGGAAGACTTCTTCAGCCTCTCTGGCTATGGTAGGGTTTCTTCTGGAACGCAAGCCGGTAAGTGTCCTTCATCCCCGTGTCATCAAAACAGGATTTAATCATCTGTATCTGTGTCTTTTTCACCAGATCGGGTGCTGAGGGCAGGATCGCAGTCTGACTCAGTGCCGTGTTCCCAGCACACATGTTTTTGAACAGAGTTGCTGATTGGTCGGACCAGGCTCGAAGGTGTTACAGAGGGGATATACAAAGGATCTGGAGATGTAGTGGGTGTGGGTGTTGGGGATGCGGACACAAGGTAGAGAAAGGGAGAGAGGGAAGGGCATGCCAGGGAGAGGGCACAGCATGGGCAAAGGCACGGTGGCAGGCACTAGCTGGGAGATGCATGGCTCTTGTGTAGCTCTAAGCTCCCAAGTAGGGAGTGATGAGTGATGAGATTGGAAAGGTCCTGGAGGGTGTTGATGCCAGGTGAGGAGTGTGGATGTTGTCCTGAAACCCGTGGAGCCCCTGAAGGCTTGGAGCAGTGGGAGGGACCAGATTGCACATTGTGTTTGGAAAGCTCACTTCAGTTGTGCAAAGACCAGAGGGGAGGTGAGTGATGGTGGGCCCTCTACTGGGGTAGGGGCAGCAGATGTGGAGAACAGGGGACAGACCTGAAGGAGGTTCCAGAGGTAGGATCAGGGGTGTTGGATGTTGGAATCGGAGGAGAGGCCAGCACGGCACCCAGACTGGGATTTGGGGGCAGGGGGTGGGGAGCAGCTGTGGCCAATGTTGAGTTCCCTGAGTGGGGGATGGGACGTGAGAGGAGATATTCAAGAGGCCACAGATTTGGATTCAGAAATATTTCAAATAAAAAACAAGGTCGGGGGGCGCCTGGGTGGCTCAGTCGTTAAGCGTCTGCCTTCGGCTCAGGTCATGATCCCAGGGTCCTGGGATCGAGCCCCACGTCGGGCTCTCTGCTCAGCGGGAAGCCTGCTTCTCCCTCTCCCACTCGCCCTGCTTGTGTTCCCTCTCTCGCTGTGTCTCTCTCTCTGTCAAATAAATAAATAAAATCTTTAAAAAAAAAAAAAAGGATGGACATTATATAGCAGTCAATTATGGGCTCTTTTTCCCACTTAAATTACATTAAAAACAACAACAACAACCAACCACCTCCCCGTACTCCCCCTGCCACCTTCATCCCACTCCCCAGACAGTGACTGGTGCTTGCTCCAAACGGGATGTTCAGTTTGCTGTAGAATGAGTGATATAAACCCGGTCCTCCCCACCTCCGTGGAGGGTTAGCTCACTGCTGCGCTTTAGAATGAACTCTTGTGAAAACAGGAAGAGCTTGGGCCCATGTCCCTGGGAGTGCACCTGGGAGGCCCCTCGAGCCAGGGAAGATGGGACAAGTTGGGAGGGGTGCGCCATTTTACAGAGGTAGAGACTAGGGATGTGAGAGGTCACTTGGCTAAGGCCATGAAGCTACTAAGTACCTGATTTCCCCCATCTGCCCCTTCAGGCCCTGCATAACCCACTTGGTCTTCTGTGAGCCTACAGCTCCCGCTCAGAGCAGGTGGCCAACCCTGTGTCTTTGCTGCAAGTGAGGGAGTGAGCTTTCAATGAAGAATAGTGTCCTTCATCTTGTTCCCTACATTTTACGCCACCATGTAAAATTTTCCATTAATTCCTCAGAATAAAATGTAGTGGCTGTTAATTTTTGACACCTGGGAAGTAGCCTGCTGAATGCTTTTTTTATGCCTGAAACTATTTTCCACCATTAGAATAGTGTGATAAAAAGTTTCCTTTCTTTCTTTGATTTTATTTTTTAATTAGACCAAAGGGTTTTTGTGGCTCAGTCAGAGCTATTGCCAGCAGCTGGGAGCCCAGAAAGTAGCAAAGAAAGGACACAAACATTGTCACTGCTCACATGCCATCTCCATGGCCAGGCCTTGCCTCTCTGAAGACCAGGAGGGTCAAGGTCCTGCTCGAATCAGAGTAAAACCCAAAGCTTCATTGCTTTTCCAGAAAGGCCATTTGTGAGAGGTAACATGGGGCTGTGAGAAGCTTCTCTTCTTTGCTTATTAATTTTTCTTCTTTAGAGCTTCCTTTTGGATTGATCAAGTTTTCTTTTCTTTTTTTTAGTAATCTCTACACCCAAAGTGGGGTTGAACTTACCACCCTGAGATCAAGAGTAGCATGTTCTTCCAACAGCTAGCTTCCTGAGCCATCCAGGTGCTATTGGACTGATCAGGTTTTCTTTAGCTAATTTCATCTATTTGTTTGGAAGGTATAAATATTATTTTTATTTTGTTTCAGGTATTTTTTGCAGCATGACAAACCATTCCACCTGAATGGCTTAAAACAAAAATTTTTTTATCAATTCTACTTCATGTGACTGGGGCATTGAGAGAGCAAAAGGGTCTAAAAAAAGCCTTCTTAATACAACTGGCAATTCGTGCTGGCCGCTAGCTGGGAGCTTAGTTGGAGCTGTTGGTTGGGGACCTTGGTTCTCCTCTTCAGCCTTTCCACATGGCTGCTTGAACCTCTGCATAGTGTGGCGACTGGATTTCAAGAAGGAGCGTTCCAATAGCTGGAGTCATAAGCTGTAGGCATCTTAAAGCCCAGCCTTCAATATTACACAGCATCATTTCATTTTTTCAGATAAAAAAAAAAAACAGATCCAAGGGGTATGATGGGACGAGTGACAAAGGATTTGTGGCCATCTTTAATTTTGATCAATCTAAACATCATAGAAGCTGCACTTGAATTTCCTACTTGTATTTAACTACATGGATGCTAACAAAATCTAAAGTTGTTAAAAAGAAAATCTCAAAATGCATTGCCTTCCTTCTCAATGCCTTTTTGCCAACTCTTTTGTTATTGTTGTTTAGGATTTTAGTTCCATGTTATTTATAAAACCTGACTTTTTCAGTATTTTTTTTAAGTAATCTCTACACCCAACGTGCGGCTTGAACTCAAGACACCAAGATCAAAAGTCGGATGCTCTTCTGCCTGAGTCAGCTAGGTTCCTCCTTTTTTTTTTTTTTTTTTTAAAGATTTTATTTATTTATTTGAGAGAGAGAGAATGAGAGAGAGAGCACATGAGAGGGGGGAGGGTCAGAGGGAGGAGCAGACTCCCTGCAGAGCAGGGAGCCCGATGCAGGACTCGATCCCGGGACTCCAGGATCATGACCTGAGCCGAAGGCAGTCGCCCAACCAACTGAGCCACCCAGGCGCCCTGAGGTTCCTCCTTAGTATTAGTTTTTTACCTTTTTTACCAAAAGCTTTGATGACCACTGCACCTTGCATTCCATTTCTCCCTTGTGAGTTCATTTTTTTTCTTGTTGATTTGCACTCTTTAATAGTTCTTTCAGTGACAGCCTGTGAGTAGTAAACTCTATGAATCTTTTTTTTAAGTTTATTTTTTTAGTAATCTCTACATGCAACGTGGGGCTCAAACCCTTGACCCCGATGTGAGAGGTCACTTGAGAGATCAAGATTCACACATTCTTCTGACTGACCCAGCCAGGCACCCCTGAGCCCTAGTAATCTTGGTGTCTGGAAGGATCTTTACTTTGGTCTCACTCTGTAATGACAGTTTAGTTAAGTAAAGAATTCTAGGCTGACAAGTATTGTTTCACTGTGTTTAGAGATATTATTCCACTTTTTTTCTGGCTCCTATTGTTGCCAATTGGAAGTCTGCTTATTTGTCTAATTGTTTTTTTGAACGGAATTTCCGCCCCCCCGCCCCCGCAACTTTAAAGACTTTGTTTTTATTCTTATTGTTGTTCACTGCAAAAGTGTGGATTTGTTTGTATTTATCCCACTTTGAACTCTATGAGGACTCAGATCTTTCTTCAGTTCTGGAAAATTCTTAGACTTTCATATATTGCCTTTCTCATGCTTTCCTTTTATTTTTTTTAAGATTTTATTTATTTATTTGACAGAGAGATAGAGAGCACAAGTAGGCAGAGCAGCAGGTAGAGGGAGAGAGAAAAGCAGGCTCTCCACTGAGCAGGGAGCCTGAAGTGGGGCTCTATCCCAGGACCCTGGGATCATGACCTGAGCCGAAGGCAGATGCTTAACCGTCTAAGCCACCCAGGTGCCCCTCCCATGCTTTCTTTATTGTCTTTTATTGGAATTCCTATTAGATGTATGATGGATCATCTCATTTCATCCTCCATCTTAACTTTTGTTTTATATTTCACATCTTTGTCTCTCTGCGTGTTATATTCCAGGTGATAGCCTTGGAATATCTAGATCTTCTAGGCAACAGCTATGTCAAACCCATCTATTGAGTTTATTTTAATTTCAGTTTATCTTGGATGACTTTTTTCCTTCCATGGCCCAGGGTAGGAGACTCACTTCTACACTGCCATCCAGAGTTATTGGGCAGTTTTTATCCAGTTTTCATTCAAAGAAGAAATAGCTCATTTCCAACTTCTTCTTTATGGAGGCAGCCTAGCTCTAGCTCCAGTCTCTCACAGGGTCTCGAACCTCATCTTCTGTGCTCCTAGAGGCATTAAAACCCCAACTCTTTCCAACCAGAAGTTCAGATATGGCAGCCCCAAGCTGGTGTGATGGCTCCATGAAGCTGCCAGAGGCTAAGACACCTTTGATTTTCCCACTCCATCACCCTCAGGGTATGGCGTTCACCCTCCTTGTTGTACTTGCAGGCATCTCATCTTTGAAATACCCCCATAGCTTCTGTCGTTTGTCCAGAACCTGGTCACATGGCGACCACAAGCTGCAAAGAAAAGCTGAAGAGTGGGTTTTTTGGTGGTACCTTTCCTTCCCACCATGCAACAGTTGTGGTTCTCTTAGTAAGGTAGTAGAGCAAGTAGGTCTGGAGCTAGTAACTTGTAACATCTGCCACACAGAATGTTATCCTCGTTTAGGGGAAGAAGTGATAGCTCAGAGAGGGGTGGTGATTTACAGACTCCACTACACTGAGCCCATGTTCTTCCTGCTCAGCCCCACCACCATCTCCCTGCTCTGACTCAGGGACTCTGGCCCGGATCTCAGCTGCTGGACTTTCCCTCAGTCTCAGTCTCAGTGCACTGACCTTGCATGATGGATGACCCGGCGGCCTCCTAAAGCACCGAGTTTTGTTGGTTCCCAAACCTTACAGGAGCAGCAGGGCCCGGGGAGCTGGGTGCAGGGAAGCTGAACAGAACCCCATCTGTCCTCCCCCAGCTCTTGTTCAGGCAGGCATTTGTCAGCCACTGCAAGAGGGCAGCCTCAATCACTTCTTTCAGCAGTTAGGGGGCTGCACACAGGCAGAATAATGACTGGCCCCTGAAGAGGGAGTGGGGGCTTATCAGGGGCCAGCATGGCTAGGTGAAGCTCAGGGTCTGACATCCACATCTCTTCTGAAGGGAAAGGAGCTGGCTGACAACTCCCTGCCCCACAGTGGAGGCCTCCTTAGCTCTGCCTTCTGGTTTTCCTCTCCTCAACATACCCCTCTCTCACTGTCCCTCCACCCCACCAACTCTCCCCAACCGACCGAGATCTCGGCCCTGGATCAGTGGCCATGTGCTCTGCTTGGACGACCACACCTGCCTCCTTGGTGCTGCTCTCCTAGCTCTAGCCTTGCCCCCTCTAAACCACGCTCCACACTGGCTGCTTACAAGTCTGGTCATGTCACACATGTCTCTATCCTCTGCTTTTATATCCTTCTATGGCTCCCTACTATCTGCAAAATAAATAGCAGACTCAGCCTTGCCAACCTTAGCTCCCATTCCTCATCCTCTGTCTCTTGCTGTGTTTGCTATTTAATTTTTTAGAATGGATTATTGTGATATTATGACTTATAATAAGAAATATATATTTGATCCTCATCCCATTGCTGGCACAGAGCTCCTAAAACTCTTGGAATTTCTGAAATTATAAGAGGGATAAAGGTGTCTTCTATTATTCAAACCCCTTTCAGCAACACCTGAGTTTATTGTATTAATGAGGTCACTCTTTGGAAAGTTCTGCAGGATGGGGCTGCCCACCAGAAAGACCAAGTGATTAGAGGGTTAGAACGTTCAGTTCCACACATCGACCTCTGGGAAGGGGTTGGGGCTGGAAGCTAGGCTCTATGAAAATTCTTTTTTTTTTTTTTAAGATTTTATTTATTTATTTGACAGAGAGAGACACAGCAAGAGAGGGAACACAAGCAGGGGGAGTGGGAGAGGGAGAAGCAGGCTTCCCTCCAAGCAGGGAGCCCAATGTGGGGCTCCATCCCAGGACCCTGAGATCATGATCTGAGCCAAAGGCAGACACTTAACGACTGAGCCACCCAGGTGCCCCCTCTATGAAAATTCTTGAACAACTCGATTTGATGAGCTTCCAAGTTGGTGAACGTATCCATCAGAAAGGGGACACATCCCACTTCCATGGGGACAGAAGTTCCTGCACTCAGGACCCTTCTGGACCTCACTCTTTGTATTTCCTCATCAGGCTCTTCATCTCTATCCTTCATAATATCCTTCACAATAAGCTGGTAAATGTGAGCAAATGTTTCTCTGAGCCGCTCTAGCAAATCCACTGGACCCAGGGAAGGAGTTGTGGAAACTTCCTATTATAGCTGAAGAGGGAGCAGTCTTGTGGGACTGAGCCCTCAACCTGTGGGATCTGATGCTATCTCCAGGCAGGTGGTGTCAGAGTTGAGCTAAATTGTCAGACACCCATTCAGTGTCCACTGAGATTGGAGAATTCCTAGGTGGTACTGGGCAAAACCCTCCAGAGTCACATGATCACTGGTTTCAAAAATCAAACTAGTCACACAGTGGAAAAAAAAAACACTAGTCACACAGTCTCACCTCCACGTTTCTCTCAACTGTTCACTTCTCATCACCCACCACATTTCTTAGTTCCTTGTGTCTCCTTACAGAGTTTCTTTATGTAAGTGTAAGCATTTTCTAGGTACATCTTCTAGGGCCGGAAACCTCCCACAACCTTGCTACTCAGACGCTGGGGTGCAGGTTGCTCCACGTGTCTCCTCTCTCTGCCTGGTCATCCCTCCCCAGTTCTTCTCCCACTGAGAGTCACCAGGAATGGGTGAGCCTAAGCAGACATCTAATAAGAATAAGGTGCTGGTCTGTCCTTCTAAGTGGCACCCCCAACTTCTGAGATTTCTCTTGGAGTCCCCTTCATTTGGCTTGAACTGGTGGACTGGGAGTCCCCCTCCTTTTCCAGGGGAGGGAAAGCCATAATACCATCTGCCCCCTCCTCCTTAGATAAAACACCCAACTCCAAAGACCACTCCCCCCTCACCTGTGTATTCAGAGAAGGACACTTGGGGAGCAAAAGAGCCAGTCTGGCTGCCCCTTAGTAGATCCAAAGGTGTCCCCTTCTCTAGCTTGGTGGGATCTTGAAAAAGGAGTTTGGTACCTATTCATCTTCTGTCCTGGGTCCCATTGCTGATTCTGAAGCAACAGGGAAAATTCACACTTTACAACCCAAGACATCTGTCCCTCTGTCCATCCGATATAACTTGAAGACCCAAGACCAGATGAAGGGCTAAGAGTGTGGGACAAACTACTGAGAAATCCACATTCCTTGATGTGTCCTCTGTGCTGCTGGGGGTCACTACAGACCCCCAGGATCCTCCCCCTGTGAGCTCCATGAGTGTCTTGTATCCACAGGACTGGCCTGGGATCTGGCACATGGTAGATGCGGAATAAATACCTGCTGGGAGGGTGACTGCAGTGGCTTTCATGGCTGTCTGGGAGCTTACCTTATGCCTCTTCAATTTGTCAGAGTCTGCCTTCTGTTAATGTTATACTTCTTTACATGTATAAGGGCCCAAGAGCACTGTGCTCTGAACTCTTCCCTGCCATCCTTTGTGGTATACTGTCATGCATTTTATTTTATTTTAAAGATTTTATTTATTTATTTATTTGACAGAGAGATAGTGAGAGCAGGAACACAAGCAGGGGCAGTGGGAGAGGGAGAAGCAGGCTTCCCGCGGAGCAGGGAGCCCGATGCAGGGCTCGATCCCAGGACCCTGGGATCATGACCTGAGCCGAAGGCAGATGCTTAACGACTGAGCCATCCAGGCTCCCCCATGCATTTTATTTTTACAAGTACTGCAAACACACAATGTATTTCTACTGTTTTGCTTTAGACAGTCAAAAATATCTTGTAGAGTAATTAAAAATATGAGACAATTTTTTTATTGTCTTATTTTTATTTTTAATGGAAGTACAGTTGACATATTAGTTCCAGCTGTACAATACAGTGATTCAACAAATTACGTCCATTACAAGATGTTCATCATGGTAAGTGTAGTTACCATCTGTCACCATTCAAACTTACTACAATCTTATTGACTATATTCCCCATGCTGTACTTAAAACAATCAATTTTACATTTGCCTTCATTTATGCCATTTCTAGCATTTCTTGTTTCTTTGCATCAGTGTAAGTTTCTTTGTGGTATCATATTTCTTCTTCCTGAAGAACTTCCTTTAATACATCTTATAGTGCAGGTCTACTGGTAATTAATTCTCTGATGTTGTTTAACTGAAGAGGTCTTATATTTATTGCTTACTTTTGAAAGACATTTCCTCTGGGCATACAACTTTGGATTGACAGGGTTTTTTTGTGGGGTTTTTTTTGTTTGTTTGTTTGTTTGTTGCTGTTGGCACTTTAAATATGTCACTCCATTCCAAACTTTAAAGTTGGAAGCTTCTTTCACCACTTTATTTTTTTAAAAAGATTTTATTTATTTATTTATTTTATTTATTTATTTTTAAAGATTTTATTTATTTATTTGAGAGAGAGAGAATGAGAGAGAGCACATGAGAGGGGGGAGGGTCAGAGGGAGAAGCAGGCTCCCTGCAGAGCAGGGAGCCCGATGCGGGACTCGATCCCAGGACTCCAGGATCATGACCTGAGCCGAAGGCAGTCGCTTAACCAACTGAGCCACCCAGGCGCCCAAAGATTTTATTTATTTATGAGAGAGAGAGAGAGCACGAGAGAGCAGGTGGAGGAGTAGAGGGAGAGGACAAGGAGATTGTACAATGAGTGCGAAGCCGGACGCGTGCTTGATCCCAGGACACTGAGGTCATGACCCGAGCTGAAACCAAGAGTCAGACACTTAACTGACTGAGCCACCCAGGTGCCTCCTCTTTCAGCACTTTAAAGATATCTTCTGCTTTGCATAATTGGTTTTTTTAAGATTTTATTTAGAGAGAGAGAGTGGGTGAGCATGTGAGCAGGGGAGGAGCAGAGGGAGAGGGGAGAGAATCTCAAGCAGGCTCTGTGCTGAGCATGGGGCCTGACGTGGGTCCCACGTGGGGCTCCGCACGGGGCTCGATCTCATGACACTGAGATCATGACCCAAACGAAAATCAAGAGTCAGACACAGCACCCCTGCTTTGCATAGTTTCTGATGAGAAGTCCACTATAATTCGTCTCTTGATACTATGTTATTTCTCTTGCTTCTTGTGTGTCTTCTAATTTTTTGTTGAAAGCTGGATGTCTTGTGTAGGGCAGTAGAGATTGAAGTAAATAGTACTTATGCCTGAAAATGGTCATGCCTTTTCCTTTGCCAGGCTTTAGCATGGGGTTGGATTGATATGGACAGGAGTTGAGCTGGGTTTGGGTTTTGTTGTTCCAAGGATTCCTGTCAGTGCATCACACTCTTCAAATTCCTCTAGCACTGCTTTGTGTTCAGGGTGGGAGCTGGGTCGCTGGAGGGTATTTTCCCCAGTGGTCCTGTTTCACCCCAAGCTGTAGATTTTGCCTATGATCCTGCACCATAAAGAGGTTCCTCCTGTGTTCTCCTGCCCTCCTCCAGCAGTAGACAGCTGTTACCTATTCCTGGGTATTTGCTAGTCTGGGGGTAGAAGGTGTCGGAGTTGCTCTCTGTTGTGAAGGTTCTGTTAAAGTCTTAGGCAGGTGCTCTGAGACCGGGGGACTTAGGGATCCAGCCCTCTCTCACTGATAAAGGGATTTTTCTATGCTTTTCCCCCAGCTGCAATGGGCACTGAGGGCCAGGAGTCTTGCTGTCCCTTCCCCAGAGTCTATGGCCTTCCTTCCAGCAGTGGCCGCTGTTTCCTCCGCTAGGCCTGCACCCCAAGGTGGGCTTTCTCTCTCACCCCCAGTCTCCCTCCCCCAGACCCAGTGCAGTCTACAGAGAAGAGCCTGTTGGGGGTACAAATTTCCCCTTAGTTGGCTGCTTTCAGGGGATCCACACCCCCATACCAGCCCACACTCAGCCTTGGCAGCTTTTTAAAAATTTATTTCAATTCTTACCGGTTTATTGGTATCAGCCCTGAGTAAGCAAAGGCTCTTGTCCCATCTTCCTTGCAGGTGCCTGTGTCTCTTTAGATTTACTTGTTTATTTATTTGAGAGAGAGACACAGAGAGAGCACGACCAGGGGGAGGAGCAGAGGGGGAGGGAGAAAGAATCTCAAGCAGACTCCATGCTGAGCGCGGAGCCCCAGCTGGGCTCTATGTCTCCACCCTGAGATCATGACCGCAGCCGAATCCAAGAGTTGGACACTTAACCATCCCGGGGCGTGATGCCTGTGTCTCTTTAGATTTCAGGCCAGTTGTTTGCCCTGTGATCTCAGCTCTCTGATAGGTACAAGAAAAGTTAAAAAGTCACAGATTATCTGGGTTTTTCTTGTGGCAAAGGTGGAAGTGATACTCTTTCCAGCTTTCTACATCCTAGGAGGAACCTGGAAGAAAACTGAACAGTTTTAAACGTGTCCATACCTTCTCTGAAGGCAACAGGAATAACTCTGCATAGCTTCTGAGGCTGTGTCTTTTTTTTTTTTTTTTAAGATTTTATTTATTTATTTGACAGAGAGAGAGAGAGAGAGAGCGCGAGAGCAGGAACACAAGCAGGGGGCGTGGGAGAGGGGGAAGCAGGCTTCCCACTGAGCAGGGAGCCTGATGTGGGGCTCGATCCCAGGACCCTGGGACCACGACCTGAGCTGAAGGCAGATGCTTAGCAACTGAGCCACTCAGGTACCCCGAGGCTGTGTCTTAAAAGGCAACACGGCGGGGCGCCTGGGTGGCTCAGATGGTTAAGCGTCTGTCTTCGGCCCACGTCATGATCCCGGGGTCCTGGGATCAAGCCCCACATCGGGCTCCTGGCTCAGCGGGGAGCTTGCTTCTCCCTCTCCCTTTCTCCCTGCTCATGTTCTCTCTCTGTCTCTCTCTCTGTCTCTCTCTCTGTCTCTCTCTCTGTCTCTCTCTGTGTCTCTTTGTCTCAAATGAATAAATAAAATCTTAAAAAAAAAAAAAAAAAAGGCAACACGGCTTCTTCCACTTTGCTCACCGGAATGCTTGCATTGGAGTTCTGAACGGCAGCTCAATTACCCCAAGATCACTAGGCCGCAAGGAAGCCCAGGCCATGGGGACAGGCTACTGGGAAGTGTTCCAGTTGAAAGTTTCAGCTAGAGGTTCGTCTAGCGGCTAAGATAACCTCCAGAGGTGTGGCTGGTGACACCTCCAGTTCCCAGCCTCCCATCTTGCAGGCAGAGGCCACGGACATCATGGAGCGAAGAAAAGCCATGCCCTCCATGCCCTGTTTGGAGTCCTGACCCACAGAATCTGTGAGCCTCATAAACGGTTGTACCAATACGTTTTGGGGTAATTTGTTGCACAGCAATGTAACCAGGACAGTAACTCATCGTCACAGGCTTGATTCAGCCACTGGGTGCCTGCCTTGGGCCTGATACTGAGGAGGCAGAGACACAGGAGACACCCCGTCCCAGCCCTCCCAGGGCTCCTGGGCTGATGGGGAGGCAGACAGCTCCTGGGTGTAGAGATGAGGGACAGTGGGGAGCAGATCCAGGGCCCTTGACACAGCTGGGGGAAGGGACGGAGGGCAAGAGAAAGCTTCCTGGAGGAAGCGACTCCTACACTGAGACCTGAAAAGTGAAAAATAAAGGAAAGAGAGTTCAGCCATGAGAATACCTTGGGCTGGAAGGCCATTGGCAAGAGATGTGGGTGGCACTTTGGAGGGACCTACAAGAGGCTTGCTAAGGCTGAATTGAGAGAGTGAATGTTTGAAAGGCAAAAGACGAGGGAGCGTTTCTGCCATCGCAACCCAAAGGGATGTCAATGTAATATACTCATTTTACAGATGAGGGAGTTGAGGCTCAGAGCAATGACTTGCCCAAGGTCCCACTGTATGTCGTAGAGCTTGGACTTGAATCCAAGTTGGTTTGACTCCAAAGCTGACATGAATCACCTCTTCACACTTCCGAGAGAGGTTGAGGGGATGGAGGCTCAGATATGGAGCTGTGGAATGTGTAAGCCTTGGCAGCATCTTCCGTTTGTTACGTTATAAACCCCCATCTGAGTTAGGGGTCATCAGAGAAGGGATGGAGGAGGCTGACAGCTGGAAGAGGCACCTGAAGGGCACTGGTGGCCTTGCTACCCCTCTGAATGTGCTGGATCAACTCTAACCAAATTGGTGCCTGCACGATTCTCAGCTGTTGTATTGACACATCTTGCCTTGGAGGCCAAATCAGCCCCTAATCAAATTGGATTCCTTATTTCTGGCCATAAGGAGACCTAGGGAGATCAATAATAATAACAAAGACATTCAGAGAAGTACTCTGCCTCTTAAGAAAAATGAACAGGGTGCCTTCCGGCTCTGCCAGAGCCCAGCCAAGGATAGGTGTGTGAGCAAATGGCTTTGCTTGTTTAACTGTCTCGACACATCAAGCAGCCATTCAAATTCCCCAGTGCCAGTCTTAGTTAGGAACAGAGCAAAATAAAAATACTCAGACTGCATGGTGGGGCTCAACTGCCATCGTTAGGGATGGCAACCATCTAATGTGTTAAGTGATCATTAACTAGCTATCGACAGAGGACATCTGATGGGTACCAGCTATTTCTGTGGGCTGGGAGGAAAACTTCAGGGACTTGGTGAAATCCTGGAATCTTTGTCACAAATCATTTGGTCGTTGACCTACAAGTTCCTTTATAAAGTTTTGGTTATTTTGGTGGATTCCGAATAGGATGGACCTAAAAGATCTCTCCCTATCTTCTATTGATGTGGGGTCTAAAGTTTAGATTAATGGTTTTATCTCATGTAATAAGTATGACCCCGGGGTAGTGGTGATCTAGAGTGCTGTGTTGAGAAGGATTCTGAGGTTCCATGCTTGGCATTATTCCCATTTCCTTCTGGAATCTGCACCCCCATTCTTCCAGGAATTCCTTTCCTCTCTGGGTCTAACCTTGTGGATCTAGCAGGAGCCTCATGTTTTTATATAGTCTGTTCACTTGGCCATGGCTGAGTGACCCGATTCCTGGTGGCATCTGATCCAAATTGGGCCAGAGTCCTTTAATCTGTAAAGGAGTGAGTCAGCTCCTCTCTCTGGTGTGAGAAGAGAAGGAATGTTGGCAACTATGGTGGCACCTGAAGTAAGAGAGAAGGAATCTGACACATTGAGAAGCAGAGACAGAGTGGGGTTCAGGGAATCCTAGTGGCCTCCAGGCCCAGGTACCAGGAATTGGGTGATGCAGGTCTATCCTTCCGCAGCCTACGGTTGGGTTGTTAACTTCATTTTTGCTTTGCAGGAGTCAGTCTCCCTTTCTCTTAAGCTGGTGTATTCGTCAGGATTCTCCAGAGAAGCAGATCCAGTAGGATATATAGAGATGAATATAAGAAGAGAGACACCCAGGTGGCTCAGTTAGTTAAGCATCTGCCTTTGGCTCTGGTCATGATCTCAGTCAGGGTCCTGGGATCGAGCCCCGCTTCGGGCTCCCAGCTCAGCGGGGGGGCCTTCTTCTCCCTCTACCTGCTGCTCCCCCTGCTTGTGCTCTCTTGCTCTCTCTGTCAAATAAATACATAAAATCTTTATAAAAAAAAAGAGAGAGAGATTTATTATAGGAACTGGTACATGTGGTTATGGGGGCCAGGAAGTCCCGTGAACCAGGAAAGCTGGTGTATAATTCAGTCTGAATCCAAAGGCTTGAGAACTTGGGGGCAGGGGGAACTGATATAAGTCCCAATGTGAATCTGAAAGCCTGAGGACCAGGCGTGCCAATGTCCGAAGGCGGAAGATGGATCTTTCAGCTCAAGCAGAAAGAGGGTGAATTCTCCCTTCCTCCCTCTTTTTGTTCTCCACAGGCCCTATACAGATTGAGTGATGCCCACCGAATTAGGGAGGGCCTTCTGCTTTACTCAATTCATCAATTCAAATGCTGAACTCTTCTGGAAACACCCTTGGAGACACCCCCAGAAATAGTGTTTTACCAGCTATCTGGGCATCCCTCAGCCCAGTCCAGTTGACACACGCAATGAACCATTGTAACCAGTGTGGACTGGGTTTCTGTTGCTTCTTCGGGATGATACGTTCACCAGCATGGCTGGGGAGAATGTGAGGTCCCAGGAAGGGAGTGACGGGAAAGTGCTGGCTACACCATAGTGTGCTATGCCTCTTTGCTGGGACCTTCTCCACTCTTTTTTTTTTTTTAAGATTTTATTTATTTGACAGAGAGAGACACAGCAAGAGAGGGAACACAAGCAGGGGGAGTGGGAGAGGAAGAAGCAAGCTTCCCGCAGAGCAGGGAGCCCAATGTGGGGCTCCATCCCAGGACCCTGGGATCATGACCCGAGCTGAAGGCAGACGCTTAACAACTGAGCCACCCAGGCACCCCTGGGACCTTCTTCACTCTTGTGGAGTCCAGAAATGTAGCCATACTTCTGTCCCTGAGGCCCTGGCTTCAGATGAACAGACCCTCTGCATAGTGGGAAGTTGAGGCAGGCAAAGTAATGCTCAAAATACCTGCTGCTTACACCTGCCCAGCCAGGCAGCCTCTAACGTGGAGATTTTGGAATAATAGTGGAAGAAGAGCTAAAAAATAAATTCCATCAGCTTCTTTCTCAAATCCTGTGGATATCCAGGATAGGCCTAATATGTAAAACAGACTATCATTTCCAGGGAACATCCTAAAACCTCTCTAGGGACCAAGGATTCTAAGGTCATGCATTTGGACACATATCTATTTCTTACATTTGATCAAACTCACCCAGTGGCATTAGGAAAAATAAAATGAAGAAATACACCAGGATGGACCATGGCAGGAATATCAACAACTCAGCCTCAAACCCGGGGAAGAAGTGAGTGAGTTGGATGTCTGATCATTGCTAGACCTTGGGAAGATCTCCCAGAAATAGGAGCAGTGGTGGACAAGGTCTTGATTTTAGAGCAGGGCGAAGCTTGAAGAGCTTGCTTTGTCATCTGGCACTTGGTAACTGGCAATGCCAGAAACTAGGCCCTGGAGAAAGGAGGAAAGGTTGAGAATATTTTCCAGGTGGCCTATTATTTGAGGCTACCTCGTCTGTTGGCCCATATCTCTCTGGGTTTCCCAGTGTACATTCTCTGCCAAGGTCAGGCTGATTTCTAGCCACATGCTCCCTGCTTATTCCCACCCTAGTACTTTGGCTTGGGGTATCTCCCCAGCCTTCCTAGAAGGTTCTAACCCCACCATCTCAGCTGGGCTCAGTGGAACAAGTATAGGACCACCAATTACAGCTGGATAAGCACCGCACAATCCCGGGGCACCATTCACAGTCCAATGTTCAAGTTGTCCAGTAACACTCAGCAGATTATTCTGCAGGAGGTTCAGAAGATCCAGGCTTTGGGGTTAGATGGGCCCAGGTTGAGTCTTGGCCCACTCATTATTAGCTATGTAACTTTGGACAAAACATTAACTCTTGTTGCCTGGTGTTCTCATCTGCAAAATGGGGATGTGCCATATTTTACTGATTCTAAGATGCACAGTCTTTCACATTTC